TTTGTACATCATGTATACGAATCTACCAGGTTTATTGCTTTGCTATTGGAGCAACCAAGAAACCAGCGGGCGATGGATTTCGCTAAAAATCCACTATGCCCACTCGCAGCTAGGGGGCCCTCGTGGCAGTCTAGATGTACCTTAAAGTATCCATATATTACCTGTACGAAGTACGTACCTCATTGATATGACAGGAGCTTACCCCTGCATTTATGTAAGCTGAGCAAGCGCCCGCAGTCTCGTTTGGCAAAGGGTTAAATATTAGCCATACGATATTGAACTTTAGATAAAAACTGGTTTTGGATACTTCAATGGTATAAAGTATTCGAAGCAAGCGATCGTAGATGCTTTGTAACATTCGGAGCTGAAGTTTACGTATCTAAAATTTGGATTCAAGTAACCTCTCTCGTCTTCTTGAGCTTCTACCTTCAATACCTAATATCAACTTGAAAGACGGACTTACATGAAAAGAAACGCCCGAATGCAAACACCCGGCATTAACTCAACATCAAGCAGGCCAGTTATCTAGATTGTAGCTTGAAGCCAATCGCATACATGTGTCTTGGAGTTATGATAGTCTTGGTCCTTTCAAGAAAGCTCCTCATACGCACGTGGGCTGATTGACCAATGGGACCTGGCATCCCGACATCTTCCAACTCCCACTCCCACACGCCAAACGTCAATGTCAACAAACGGATCTCTTCCCCAAGCCGTGAGCTTCACATCCCAACGCGGGGTTTGTTTGCTCCCATCTCGATCGTGTCACTGCAGCCGTGTTTTGGCTCTTACCAAGGCAAGCTCAAGAGCAATATGCTTAACTCGCGTGGGGGAGTCATCAAGGTATTCTAATAGTTACGATATAAAAGACGTGACTGGACGTGGTGCCCCTGACACCGTCATAACCAAGTTTTCGCGGTAGTTTCATGGATGAATCTTACCTCGTAAGTTGTAATTATCTGTAATAAGAATCTGGGTAGTAATCTAATAGGCCGGTTTCCGTAGCTGGTTATATATTGGTCACGATCGTAGAAAGTTAATGGGTACCTGATATTGACGCATAGGCCATGCAGACTGTTTTATTAGGAGCCAGTTAGTGTGACTTAATAGTACATTGGTAAACACATAATAGCATACGACTACGTAATTCCGAAGATATGTCTTCAATGGGTGTGATCTACTCCTCGGATTAACAGTCCCTGGACTAACGATGTATTGAAGTTATTGTTGCTATAGAGGAAATCGCTATAGGCGGCAATTTAACTATACATCTTCTACGTTATAGGTGCCGATTGGTCAGTTAGGTAGTGCAACGGGACCGACGAAGATCAAGCATAGCCGCGACGAATTGCCATGGCGTAACTAGCAAGGTAGCACGACATGCTGTTGTAGAAATGTTACCGCACATAGACCAGCGAATGACGTGTCTTTGCTTGCTAATCTTAATATACCGATAGAAACGTTTTCTGATCCGTAGTTTGAGTTGTATCTACCTATGATACGATATCCGTTCTCGTTATCCTAAGGAACTAGAAACCCGACAAGAGTAGACCGTGTGGTATTTTAGTGCCTACTCACTGATTGTGCCGGCATACGACTGAGGGGGACATATCTACTAGACATAGACAGCTTAACGCTGCACCTCATGCCCAGGGGATGGAGTCTTATAGGGACATCTCCAAATGAGTTGTTTCCTAGCTATTTGACAACATCCAGAGTTATAGTTACCAGTTTCTGTAGATAGATCAAGGGTTAAACTAATCATGTAACACGGGTACTATCGCCTTAGCGGCTAATAAATATCATGTCTGTTATACTCATTAATTACTCTGACCCCTTTATATTTACTAGCCATACTTAATGCTAAGACAGTTAGGCATGCTTAGTTACATAAGTTAAGTAGGTATTTGTTATAGTTTAAGAAAGGAAAAGATAGAAAAGGGGGAGGGTTATTGTATGTGACTATTGCGTGTAGATAATGGCTATATCAATCTGTAAGTCAGGTTGGCTAAATTTTATTATCGTCTCGTATTACACTTGAAGCTTGCTTGCCTAGATGGACGAAAACAAAGCTAGGTTTCCAATCTTAACTATCCCATCTACCTGTCATAAGTTTATTTGTGCTACAAGTCAAGTGCTCAGGCTACCTTACAATTCAAAGTGGGAGAAGTATGTTCTGGTGGGTTTAGTCCATGCGCCCCCTTGTGTCCCTTTATATATAGGTAGCATAGCATCCTGACATCCTCCATAGTAAAACAGATTTGAGGTAACAAAGTAACTTATTTAGCCATAGGCTCCAATACTAGGTGCCTACATATTTATTCTACAAGATGTACATATTACGTCGAGGGATTCGGATAGCTGCAGCGTTAATGATAAAGATCACTAGGTCACGTTTGCGATTATACTTCAGTCTGTGTTACATACATTGAAGATGTAGTTTACACATATGTAGGTTAGGAGGTACAGTGAGGCAGACATCGTACCTCCTAACATACAGACCCATTTTTGGTTCGTTGTTGCCCCCTTCGTCACTTTCTTCGTCACTTCCTTCCTTCATAACTCATAACTGCCTAGCAACGCACCTCACCTCATATCCTAAGCGACGTCGTCACTACCGCAACAGCGGCAACAGCAACAGCAACAGCAACAGCAACCCCGCACACTCACACCTATCTAACTTTTTCTGTGCACAGAGAGAATTATAATCATGGATCAAACCTTCAACTATTCTAGTTCATCTGAAGACGAAGATCAAACAATGCCTCGTAACAACAACCCAACGCGAGGGCGTCCGCCCAAGCGTATTGAACTCGACCTCAGTGCGTGTATCAACGTGGAACAAAAGTTCCAACTTCAAAAACTCATTGCTGCTATCGTCGATGATATGCATAAGCAGATACGCGATAGCTTCGAGAATCTTAGTTCCGGTCATGTTAAACCTGGCCAAGGAATCAACCCACCCAAAGCAGTGTGCAACACCGTCCCTAATCCCCGTAGCGAGAAATATCGACACTTGTACGGCAACATTGCCGTGGGTCAGAATAACAACTCAGATTCCCGGAAGGAGAATGCAAAACCCAATCACCAAGCTACCACGACGACAAGGTCACTAGATCCTATGTGGAGACTGCCTAAATCTCCCGAAGAAGTTCGCCACTTGTACCAAAAGACGGAGCACGATGTACTGGTCTCAAGCATTTTTGAATTGAAAAGAGACGCCCAAGCACACTTCGGCAAATGGCGCGTCAACTTGCTCAAGCGTACCCAGGATATCGTGATTAAAAACGGCGGAACAACTGGCAATGTTGGCGGCCAGTTACCCCAAGCACCAGGTAATGCAAGACGATCAGGAGGTAATGCCACAAGAGGAAGACCTTTGTTGCCAAGTGGTAGTGGTAAGTTCTTCCTTGAGAGGCTAGCCGCCAATAAACGTCGTCGCGATTCCTTTTTTTGAATAGCTCCATACATTGCAAATTTAGAATTTTGGTGCCCTTTATATTCCACATCTAGTTTCCCTAGCAGAGCTAATCCGATAACTTAGGATCCAACACGGCTGCTGAGGCTTCCTCGCTGGCTCTTGTTCGGCTTTATCCCCCTATTCCTACGCCCCTCAAGGATTGCCCTAAGGAGAAGCGTGCCTTGATATTGCATTCCATGCTACTAATTCTGCTCGGGCTTGACCAATATTCCCTGTACTCGAGAATCCTATTAGTAAGACTTGCTTCGTCGTTGACCATCCCGATGTGGGTATTATTGCAAGACGAGGTCAGAGTCTCGCAAGCCCTTTCGAAGGTTATCCTGGGCATCCCTATCGAGGAGATCGCCCAGAGGCGAGCAGAGGAAGCCAAAACATCCCGACGTTGGAAACCGGGCATGGCTAACGCAGCCCTGGGAGGAAACCCTGGCGTCCTTGCAGCCCCCCTCGTCGCGGCCGGACTTGGTACTGTTTTCGGGGGTATCGGACTTGATCAGTCAGCAACAGCTGGTCTACTAGGACCTATGAACGATAACACTGTCGTCGTTGGTACCTTGTTTGGTCTGTATGGAGCCCGACAAGGAAGCAAAACGATTGACGCACACGGCAAGGACATCCAGGATTTCGGCATGATACCTTTACACGGAATTAACACACCGGAGCTGATCGACCCTAAGGATGTACCCGCCGAGTATCGCAGAATGCGAGTCACCATCGGAATCACTGGGTTGCTCACCAACCCGGATGACTTCCTTACATCCTGGCAGTTTCTAGGTCAACAGAATGAATCCTACGCAATGAGATGGGAGATGGAGGCCCTGACGAAGATGGGTATCGCTCTAGAGACGCTCGCGAAGAGTTCAGCTTGGAGCGAAGCGAAAAAGGAACTTAATTCGATGAATGGTAAGGACGCCTCCCATGCTATAGTGGAACATAAGCTAATTTCTTGCTCTAGTTTACGACAGGCTGACGAAGTCTATATGGCCCACAGCCCTCGTGAAGATCAGTAAGGTCATCGAAAATCCTTGGTGTATCGGAATGGTCCGAGCAGAAAAGGCAGGCGCGGTGCTCGCCGACGTTCTCATAAACAGAATCTACGGCGAGAGACCCGTTACATTGATAGGGTATAGCCTGGGAGCTCGCATAATCTATTGCTGCCTGATGATCCTGGCCGAGAAGCGAGCTTTTGGATTAGTAGAGAACGTGATTATCATGGGCGCACCTTGCCCGTCCGAAGTTCGCGTTTGGGCGACAATGAAGAGCGTCGTTGCTAGTAAACTAGTCAACGTTTACTCCGGGAAGGACTATATGTTGGGCTTCCTCTATCGCAGTAGTAGCTGGCAATACGGCGTTGCTGGCTTACAGAAGATCGAAGGCGTACCGAACGTCGAAAATTTCGACGTGACCCAGATAGTGACAAATCACCTTCGATACCACCATATGGTCGGTAGCGTCCTGAAGAAGGTCGGCTGGGAGGACATCAATTATGACGAAATTATGAAGGAACAGCAGAAGTTGAACGCACACATAAGCGCCGAGGCGAAACTCGACGAAGAGCGCGAAAAGAAGAGCCAAGCTAAGCCCAAGGAGGATATCCGAATAGTCGTGAACGGCGTGAAAGGTGTGAAGCTGGGTAGCAAGTAGCGACGACGTCCTGGAACGCACCGATCCGGCCCTCAAGATCTGCGGCAACGGAGAGATGTACATTATTTCGGTTCCGGGGGTTTGTATTGACTAGATGGCGATGAATTTTGGTATGAGGTGGTGCTGTAAGATAGTCTAAGCATCGTTCTTTGTGTTATGCGGCCAGGCAGGCAGGCCAGGTGTATACACCGGAAATAGGACAGCATACTCAGATAGGCAGGTCAGAAGACTTTACTTACACATTGCGTAGTAATTTCTCATCTCATCTCATTATTACTATTATTATTAAGTCTCTTCCGTCTTCTCTACTTGCCCTGCGCCTGTCCGCGCCGGACTAGTTGATCCTGTCCGGACTACGAAATACCGCCCTGCCGTCTCGCTGGCTCCGGCTAAAACGTCCCATCCTTCCACCCCGGGATCAGCACCCCCGCTGCCTCCTTGCTGCTGCCGCCGTCGGCGCGGGCGCCGCGCGTGGCCTACTACATCCTCGTTCGCGAGCGCATCTTGTAGTTGCTCTAAGCCAATAGTCTGCTCACGCTGGCCGAGCGCGGTTTCGTCGCGTATTGCACGCAAGGGCTCGACGCCGGCTGTGTTCACGGAGCGGACGGCGCGTACGAAATGTAGTTGCGAGGTTAACGTTGAGAGCATAAGTGCTTCTTCCGAGGGAGAGGAGGGTGGAGGGAGGGCGGAGAGGCGCAGGAGGTGTTGCAGGGTGCGGGGAGTTATTTCGGCCTCGGTTGAGGGATCGGTGTTGGTTAGGGAAGATGGCTCCGGAAGGAGAGACCGGACGGACCAGGTTGGTTTCGAGAAGAGGGCTGCTAGGGACTCGGGTTCGGGTGAAGTTGAGCTTGAGCTTGAGTTTTGGCGGGGGGTGGTTGAGGATAGTGTGCGTAGTTGGTGTCTTCTTCCTCGTAGAGCTCGTAAAGATTGGTGTAGTGCCTTTCGGCAATGGCTACATATTTGCAAATTCATTGTCATTTGAATTCGGCCAAGTAGGTTGGAGAAGGTCTACAATTTTGAGATGTGAAGATTACGCAGCCAATTGGTTGTGTTTTATGGAAATGGAAGATCCCTGTCGGGGTCTTGAGGCTGAACAGGTTATGCCGAGGGAGATGTACTTGTGAGGAATATGAATTAAATATTGTTCAAATTGTAGACATTGAAACATATCACGACCTGGGATTTAACAACTGTTTATGAATATATGACTTTCTCTTCCTCTTTTCACTTGTAATAAAATCTGGGTGTATTTATTAGGTTGTTATTCAAATTCACCTGATTAATACAACTTGGGTACTTTGAATGTACATGGATACTTGCAAGGGTCCAATGTGACACAGGGCGATGTCATAGGATGTAGCTCGAGACTTACCTAACGTCAGGTAGCCGCGTCGCAATCCGAAACTGTACTTTACCATTCTCACTCCTTTGTCAACAACGCTTTAGGTTAACAAGCAATAAAGTTTATTGATCTACCATTACTACAACTTTTCTTTCCATTCAGTATAGCAACAACATAAAATCCCATCACCATGGCTGGAGATCCTCGTGCGCTACTCCAGAAGGTCGGTCTACTTGCCCCGCCACCATCCCCATACCCACTTACATAGTCGCTAACGTCGATCGCCAACGTAGGCAGACAAGGCGCTCTCCGGCGCGTCCGGTGGCTTCAGCTTCTTCGGCGGCCGAGAAGAAAAATACCAAAATGCGGCGGACCTGTATGTCGAGGCAGCGAATGCCTTTAGGATCCAGAAGATGAACCGAGAGGCCGGTCAGGCTTTCGAGAAGGCGGCTGCGGTCCAGAGCAAGAATCTAAACGAACCCGACGATGCCGCAAACACGCTTGTCGATGCTTTTAAGGTATACCGGAAAGAGAACCCGGAAGATGCCGTGCGATGTCTTGAGGTCGCCATCGGCCAGTACTGCAAGAAGGGGAATTTCAGGCGGGCGGCGCAGCACAAGGAGAACATGGGTGAGGTTTTCGAGGTGGAGATAGGTGATACCAAGCGCGCGCTCGAGGCATACGAGACTGCTGCTGGGTGGTATGAAGGAGATAATGCTGCGGCGTTAGTACCCCTATTATATCACTGGGTACTATGATAAGATGTTTGGAAGCTAATCCGTACATCTAGCCTTGCGAACAAGTTATGGCTCAAGGTTGCAGACATTGCTGCCCTCGAAGGCGACTACTATAAGTCGATCGAGCAGTACGAGAAGGTCGCAGCGGCCTCTATTAACAACAATCTGATGCGCTACTCGGTCAAGGATTACTTCCTCAAGGCGGGTATCTGCCACCTAGCGACAGGTGATATGGTCGCTGCGAATCGCGCGTTTGAGAAGTACAGAGATCAAGACCCGACATTCCCAAGCACCCGAGAGCACCAGCTACTGGTGGACCTGGCCGCTGCCATCGAAGCAGGTGACCAGGACCAGTTTACAGACAAGCTATTCCAATACGACCAACTAAGCAAGCTTGACAAGTGGAAGACTACGATTCTTGTACGAGTTAAGAACACCATCGAAGAGGCCGGTGAGGACTTTTCTTAGATGGACTTGTGGAGTTATAAGCTGAAGAAGGGAGGCTTTGTGACAAGTGCAAGCCAAACATGATGTTTTGGCGTATGGATTGGGTGCATTATACTATCATAATGCAGCAGCATCTTGCGATTTGCAGGATGAAGCTTTCTTGCGTTGTTTGGGTTAGAAATATGAGCTGGACCAGACCAGACCAGGCCAGACCAGACACATTCATGACGGAAATGGAACAGCATTAGGATTGACCTTTTACATCTCAACCGCATTAGTAGAAGTTACCTCGTAAGACTGGAATTGATGTTATCTACGACCCCGGATCTAATTTAAGATTGAGATATATAAAGACAGTGAATACTTTATTTCAGCATTCATTTTATGTATGATCACGGACTGACACTTAAGTTACTCGTACCCGAGTACAAATTAGAGCTAGGTTCTAGGATTTACCAAATGCCAAGAGCGCGGCAAATTGGGCTTAGCGCATTCGCCGCCTTTGCTTAGGCTCGGCTCACCCTATTGTCAGTCAGGTGACTGAGGAGCTACGGATTACATCTATGCATTATTTATGCAGAGCGAAACGGTCCTCAAACCGTTAGGTTTTAACCGTTAGTTAACTGAATCGATACGCAGCTTAAGACTTGTTGTACATAGAAAATCGCATGAAGATAACTCTTCCCAAATGCGTGCCAATTGCTATAGCAGAGGAACCTTCACCGAACCTTGTTTTGGGACCATCCGACCAAAGTTGCCAACCTAGTCAAAACCCGCGGGCTACCTATGAAAAGCTGAAGAGATTGCCAGAAAATGTTGGAATTGCCAACCGAACTTCAGGCCCCCCAAGACGCGGCGTCCGCAGCTCCTCCCGCAGCTCTCGCAGCTCTCGCAAGTCCCGCATCTCCGCCTCCAGCCGCCGCATCAGGCGGCCGTGTCCCCTGCTTCTCCTAAGGGGTCCTTCGCCTTCAGGCGCAACGATCAGACTCAAAAGATCCAGAGGGCAGTATGTCCAACTAGATATGAGTTGTTTTATCAGAGGGTTACCTTGCTGTCGCCGGCGTCGTCTCTGCGCGTGAGCCAGTCGAGGATGCACGTCTGTGTAGACGGTGCAACCATATCTGGTTGCCATTCCGGACCTCGCTCTACAATAGGTCTGCAGAGTTCTTCGTAGGCCATGCACACAAGTCGCGTCTGTTGACAATCAACTATCGCTTGGTGATTTAACCCAACCAAGCCATGTTCTTCTTCTGAGAAGGACTCTTCTTTTATTTCACTATCGCAATCGCTTGCATCGGAGATGTCCTCGAAGTTGATCTCGTGATCGGAATCGCCCTCAGTTTCACAAATGCCCAGGGATGACTCATTTTGTTCCCTCAGCAGTAATCAAAAATGAATTGTTACCATTGCTGCCCTGATCGATTGGTACGGTGACGTGTAACTTATAGGGATGTGTGACTCAGATCATGCTATCTAATCGTTTATCTAATCTACATTTTCTTAGGCAGTATCCAAGAGGGGCATAAAAAACCCCGCACTCAAAGTCACATTCCCGACCAGTTCTCCTTATCCAGTCAAATATCTCAAGCCCCAACAAACCCAAGCAATCACGATTGATTCCATCGCCGCCATGCCCTCCAGATCAGACATCACCTAGTAAGAAACTTTTTACAGCTCGTTAATATTCCCCTTCCTAGCCTGTCGCCTGTCGTAGAAGCAGCAGGGTCTTTCGCACATGGCTCAATGTTCCCGATGCAGCTCCTGAATATTCTTGAATGAGATATTGTGAGATATTGCTAACTCGTGATTGCGGTAGTTTCGGTGCAGGCCCAGCTTTGCTACCTACTGCCGTCCTCGAGGAAGCTGCCGCGGCGCTCCTCAATTATAATGCAACTGGCCTTGGCGGTATGGAGCTCCTAGAGACCGTCGTCCTCCTTCCACCATTATCCCCAGGACGGATCTTGAAGTGACCTTTTGACGGCTGTCTCGGATGACTGATGCTGACGTCTGGTTTCTCCATATATAGTTGCCGAACATTCGCATCGATCGGAGATTGCAGCTACCATAATCAATGAGGCCAAGGCCGATCTGGTCTCGTACCTGGACATTCCAGACGGTTACGAAATCTGTTTTATGCAGGGAGGAGGCTCCGCACAATTTTCTGCCATGGCATACAACTTTGTTGGCAACTGGGTCACCCGCAAATACAAGGAATACAAGGAGGTGCAGGGTTCGGAAAGTGATGAGAGCACAGTCCTAAAGCTCAAGTCGGCCGTGGAGAATCTCAAGATCGACTATATCATCACTGGTGGCTGGTCACAGAAAGCAGCGGCCGAAGCCGAGCGACTTTTTGGCTCGGAACACGTCAATATCGTGGCTGATAGCCGTAAAGCGAATGGTGGCAAGTTTGGAACGATCCCGAACGAGGATACCTGGAATCTATCTCACGATGCTGCCATGGTTTATTACTGCGACAATGAGACTGTCCATGGCGTCGAGTTCCCTGGATTTCCCAAGTGTCTCGAGCCGGGGCCCGACAGACCAATTGTTGTCGCTGATATGAGCTCTAATATCCTTTCGAGGAGGATCCCGATATCTAATTTCTCAGCCATCTTCTTCGGCGCCCAAAAGAACGTCGGATCAACTGGTATTACTGTTGTTATTATCCAGAAACAATTTCTACCACAGCCTCCTACAGCCTTGATGAGACAGCTCGCATTACCAATCCCGCCTCGTATCTTCGAATTCGAAACTATTATTAAAAATAATAGTCTCTATAATACATTAAGTATTCTTGAGTAAGTATATCTTCTTAAAATACCTTATCTTATAAATCTAAATTAATTAATTAATTTTTTATAGTGTATTTATTGCAGGTCGGGTTTTGAAGCAGCTATTACTTCAACATCCCGATAAAGTCCAAGGACAGCAGATCTTATCCCAAAAGAAAGCTCAACTTATTTATGAAGCCCTTGAGGCCTATCCTACTATTTACCAGATCATCCCCGATAAAGCAGTACGATCACGTATGAACATCTGCTTCAGAATCAAGGGCGGCGATGCCGTCGAAGAAGTATTCTTAAAGAATGCTGCTACTGTAGGGCTGACTGGACTGAAGGGTCATCGCGAGCTAAAAGGTATCCGAGCATCCAATTACAACTCGATTTCTCTCGAGGGTGCGGAGAAGCTTGCCAACTTCATCAGCGCTTTTGCATTGAGTATCTCCAATACCGAGTAGGGCTTTGGGGATAATGTTTGTGGTACGAAATGTGGTTAGTGTGACAGCGGACTGTCATGTTAACTGTCATGTTAGGATTCGAACTGGTAACCTTGCCATGGTAGCCTGTGCGCCTCAAGGTTCCGAAGAGCGGAGACAGAAACAATAGTATGAGTCATCCGGGGACTTCGTGTGTGCCTGCCAGATTGCTTACTCTAACAATAGCACGCTGATCGGTTGCAATCTATCTTGTACGGAATCGGCCTCTAGGAAAGAAGGCAACGTTGTACTAACTCTATGGTTCTTAAAGATATAGCAGGCTGCAGGGCCCCTTTCGCAAAACGTAGCAGGCTTGAATGTTCGCTTGCATTAATTAGTCTTATACCAATCAATTGTACCAATCTAAGCTTTTAGCTTAGGGCAACGACTAGACAGCGATTAGCAATACGCTCCCGGGGAAAAGCAAGACGAGCTGCATAATATATTACTACTAAACCTTGACTCCTCGAATGCGGCTTAGCTTAAATCCGATTGCCCAGGCATATATCCGGTATGTTCTAGCTGTTAACTAAAATAGAGGACAGCTTAATAGTGCAGGCACCGGGCGCGAATCTGGGAAAACATTGGAAAAGAATTGTCCGTTTTTGCAAATGAAGTAGAAACTATGTTTTTGTACCTATGCCGGGAAAGCCCGGGTATATTCCGGGAAAGCGGAGCATTGCCTGCTATAGCCATTCGACCGAGAGAAAATAAAGCCTGTTGCCCAGCTCGAAACGAGTCTCAAATCAAAAGAAAATCTGTAGAGATGGAAGACCGAGGGGAGGTGATGCCTTGGGAGGTGGAATAAATGTGTTAGGAAAAGAGATTAACTCGGGAAACGTAGAAAAAAAGCCTTAATATATACCCTCATTTAATCTACTACCTTGTTCGATTGCTGCTTTAGTAAAAGTTTTCATGATATAACTAGTTAATAATTATATAACTCTATAAATAGTCTTTTAAGCCCCTACGCATCTTTTACCCCTTTGCTATATTTATGCGCCTTAGAAATAGTTAGTAAATGATAGAGCTATTAGGCAGTAACAGCGTTATGTATTAGTACGAGCGAAGCTGCTGTACTAGTACCGGATAGAAACTGCGGATTTTGTACGCATAGTATACGTACGCACCAGTACGAGAGGGATCCCGTACTAGTACGACCGCCGACCAGTTCGGACTGGGACCGGTACGGGCTTGGACTACGGACTGGTACGGGATGCGGACCAGTACGGGTTCAAACCACGGACCAGTACGACTCCAGACCAGTACGAGCTTGGACCAGTACAGGTTGGGACCACGGACTGGTACGATATTCGGACCAGTACGGGCTTGGACAGCGGATTGGTACGATATTCGAACCAGTACAGCCGTAAGCCCCGTACTAGTACGTCCTCGAACTGGTACAGGCTTAGATTGGTACGGACTGGACCCCGTACCAGTACAGTGTCGGGCTTCCAGCTCTCAAGATTTCATACAGGAGACCGGTCCCCTATGAAGTCCGCCAATGCCTTTTCGGAACGAGCCTGAGAAGCAAGGCATAAGTGCCTTGCGAAAGAAAGAGGTTGAACTGGTTTAGTAGGGACATGCGACTAGATGGTAGGGCTTAGCACCCGTCATGCACAGTTTCTGGCGCTGCAATGGCAGAGCCTGTTCCCGACAGACTGTAAGAACATTGAAGCAGTGTGATTTGATTGGCCGGTCTTGAGGACTTGGTTTCTCGAATTAGCACAACCCAGCAGGTCGCGCGGCCGTCCCAGCCGCCGCCTTTGACTGGCCGGGGACCGAGCGACTTCCTAGGAAGTCGCTCGAGTAAAACGGTCCTGTGGTGCATACTAAAATCCGTTTGATTCTAAAACGGTCCTATTTTTGAGTGGGGTTACGGTAAAGCGTATATTAGAAATTATGCAAGTTTGTTTCATCTTGGGTTATGAAAAAGAGGGTCCTTTTCAGGCCGGGCTCAGGCTTAAAGCGGCATGGCTCAGGTTAGATTCCCATTCCGATTCGGGATGGTAAAACCTATCTCAGAGGTACTAGGATATACTCCGCTAAGTCAAACCAGTGGTGGGGTTCGTCTTCATCGATAAGCGATAACATCCGATAAGCAAAAAAAAATCCAAGATTCCTTGATAGCAGAGTCCCGAAACCCTTCACCAATTCAAGCATCTACGGATTGCGATTTTCAAAATGTCGACTCTGGAGGAGAAGCTGGACAAGATCCGGTCGCCAAATCTTCAGAGCCAACAGCAAGTCAGTAAAATACTTAATCTTAAAATACAAGCTCTAGCTCGCTAACTTGGACCTTTCCAGACCGTAGTGATTCTCAAAGCTGTGGAGGAAACGCTCAAGGAACAGGGTACCGAACCGACGCCCACTGGATACTTTGCTGCGCTTTTGGCCCTATTGAACCAATCCCTCGAGAGTGGGAAGGTCAATAACGAATTAACACCATCAATTGTCTATCTTCTCGATGTAGTTACGCCTTATGCGCCGCAACCGCTCCTCCGATCGAAATTCACACAAATTCTCACCCTACTAGCTCCCGTCTTACTTCTTGAAGATGCCGAGGCGCCTTTACTGAGGCCCTCTATTGGGTGCCTCGAAGTCTTGCTTCTTGCGCAGGACGCCGCAGCATGGAAACTGCCGGCGAGCGAAATAAGTCCGCGACGAGCTGTCGCAGGTCTTCTACACCTTGCGATGGACCATAGGCCGAAAGTACGAAAGCGCGCCCAGATGGCCCTGCGAAAAGTTCTCCAAAATCCTCCCCCGAGCCCGTCCGTGGACCACCCGGCGGCGGACCTGTGCGCCGAATCGGCAATGAGGATCCTGGCTGAGGTAGCGAATAAAGCTGCGGCATCGAGGAAGCAGAAGAAATCGTC